TTGTCGGCGAAATTAGTGCCCACTTTAGCGGATAGAGGGGTATCGCGTGGTTAGCACAACGGATCCCCACGGCCCTTAATTTCGGTTTTGTAGACCGGAGCCGCTATTTCCTTGAAACTGCTCTTCAATTATCCTCACGGGGCCGCGTGGACCCCGTTCTAGAACCACTACTTCTCAGGAAATCTAGTAGCGCCGGGAATCGAACCCGGAACCTCTGGATCTGTAGCCAGGAACTCTGACCACTAGAACACAGAGGCGGTCAGACATGGTAATAGCTCTTCGAATTCAATACAGACATGCAACATACTGACCAAGTGAATAAACCGAAATATTTGAGGCGAGACTCTGTATCAGGATAGTTAATGAGTTAGTTAGTTAGTTAGGAAGAGAGATTTCACGTCGTAGAGGAAGAGATAGTAGTAAAATAATTAAAGTTCAAAGTAGGCCCTACAAGAGCGATGCGGGAAAGTAGCTCTGAACAATAAAGGAAGAATGCAAAGAAATACAGACATAGAATTCTATATTCGATGACAGTGAAGAGTCGGCTATGTGAAAGTAAGGCTTATGTTATGACAATAAAGCATAGTCCTAGATTACAGGCTGAACAAATGGTTTCAGAACCAGTAGCAGACACGGCGAGACGGCATGCGATTAGAGATAAATACACGATTGTTTGGGCCAGGTCTCATATGATGTGCCTGAATGATGCTTTAGCAAAAAACAGGCTGAACAGGCTGAACCAAGCACATTGTCAATTATGGGAAATATAGAAGGAGAATTGCACGGAAAGCCGAAAATCATGTGCAGAGCAAGTGTAAAGGAGTTATCAGTAGGATTTGGCCTAATGTCTGAGAAAATGAAGGCAATTAGAAATATTTAGATTTGCCTCAAAATTTGTTCCATAGTTTACCAGTGTGTTTAGTGAGAGATTTAAATTGAGATGAGATTGAAATATTAAAATCATCATGAACAATTATTATTATTATTATTATATTATTATTATTATTATTATTATTGCTAGAGGGGTGGGACTAGGTCCCTTGTACAGCGGCTACTTCTGGCCTATTGTACCAGCCCCAGATAATAGGTGAGGGTGATTGTGGAGCAATTGATGGAATGAAAATTGGCAGGGGAAACCGAAGTACTCGGAGAAACCCTGCCCCAGCGCCACTTTGTCCACCACAAATCCCACTTGACCAGACCCCGGGATCGAACCCGGGCCGCCGGGATGGGAAGCCAGCGACTAACTGCTTGAGCTATAGCGCAGCCAAAATGAACTATTAAGATATGAGTGCTTCGGTTCCATTCGTATGGATCATAATAGGGTCCAATGATGGGCTGTTGTGAAGAAGGTACTGAATTTTGGGATCCATAAGGGGTGCAAAAAGGTACATTTGTCCTTGTGTTTAACTAATTAAGCACTACGCCATGAAGGCGTGTGACAGAGTGGATGTATAGATCCACATTTTCTTGACCTCGGCACTAGATGGAGGTGAGTAATCACCTTCAGGCCATGACCGGTTTACCCCCAGGAAAGAGCCCCAGTACCCAATGGATAGGAGGACTAGGGGACCTGAGAGCCGGTCTGGACGACATGGAGAAAATTCTTGACCCTACCGAGAATCGAACTCCGATCCTCCTGTCGTCCAACACGTAGCCAGTCGCTATATCGACTACTCTAATCCGGCTCCTTCCATAAAGGAGGGGGGGTTATTTCTCAACTTTCTGATGGACAGTTAGCTTCCAAGAACTACTTTAATTCATGGAATTAGTAGTTAATTATAACTTATAAATAGGAAATAGTCTACAGTATCATTACACAATGGTCAACACTACAGATTCGTAATAAATAAACCAGTATCACACACGACCCCATATTCGACCTATTAATAAAAATATGCCCTTCATGATAATAAACAAAAGACACTCCAAAATATACCCCAAATATCACCCCTATCAAAATATAACCACCCCCGTTCCCTTGAACATCACATGTGCTAGTAAATACACCCACCATGATATTAAACAGTAGTCAGTACGAACAGAACCTCAGAAAGGAAACAACCGCTATCTCACAGCAAGAAGAAGTGGGATCCTATGCAGGGCACGGCACAACATACACGTAAGCGAAAGAAATCAGAAGTAGAAGAAATAAGAAATAAGACAGGAAAACTAGAAGGTCGCGGGTTCAAGTCCCGATGAGGTAATTGGATATTTTTTTCAATTGACCTAGTCCTTCCAGCCGCACTATGGCCCTGGGGTCGACTCAGCCTCTAACAAAAATGAGTACCAGGAATTAATTAAATAACTTTCCTGGGGAGTAAAGCGCGGCCGGCGCGTAAGGCTGACAACTTTACCGCCATCTTTGAGCCGATTGTCTAGAAAATGTAGAACGCTCAACGTCTCACAACCCTATGGGCCTCGTGGCCTGTTACAGAGATAGCTTTAGTTTTATTTTACTTTCTTACCCACCAAAGCATCTACTCTCATTACAAAACAACTTTACCGCCGTCACTCACGGCGCCACAAAAGGAAAATAGATGAAACACCACTTACATGCGGAAAACCGCCATGTAATATGTAAATAACTATTTACACTACATCATATGACTATACATCACTCAAAATTGGACCATATTAGGAACAACCCTAATCTATTTTAGGTAAAGGTAAATCTGGCACTGTAACAGGCCGTGAAGGCCCATATGGTTGCAAGACGTCGAGGCTCCCACAGTTTCTCTGTACAATTGGCTCAAAGATTGTGATAAGTTTGTCTGTCTTACGCGCCGGCCGCTCTTTACCGCCAAGGAAGATTCCTGGTACTCATTTCTGTTAGAGGCTGAATCGACCCCATGGCCATAGTGCGGCTGGAAGGATTAGGTAAATTGAAAAAATCCAGTGACCTCATCGGGACTTGAACCCGCGACCTTCCGGCTTGTAGCATAGTACCTCAAACAACTACGCTTCAACGCAGACTCCCAGAAAACACGTCTGCTCTAGGATACATCATAGTTAAAATCTGAGGTGTGAAAAACTGAGTTATAACGTTTTACATTCTAAGGTTAATATTCAGATATAACGAAGCGCAAGAATCTTAACGAAATTTGTATTAATGATCACTAATACGGATACACGTGTATACATTTCAATAACAAGTATTGCCTGATGATAATGACGCTGAACCGAAATATGTAGCAGATTTACTTAATAAAGTAATATTGGTTTGTTTATTACGAATTGGTTGTGTTGAATGCTATACAATAACACTATATAGTAACACAAGACAGGATGCGACCACTAAAGATATAAAATAGTCCGTTTGCCGTAAACTTTGACCCTATAAACAGTTTATGGTATTTTCAAAGAAAGAGGCCCAGAAAGCCTTGTCTACATGCTCTCCAATTGTCGCATTGTTACGTCACGGCGTGAGATTCTCCCACACATAAAGAAACTACAAGTGCGCATGACGACATAAATACCTGCTTATCTCGCCCAATTTTCTCACAGAGCGAGACGTAATCAACTTCCTCCCTCCGCTACCTGCCACTGTACGCAGTGTGTCGTGGACTGAATTCAAGTTTGCGGTTTACCCACTTGCTAAGGCCTGTGAAAATGCCGACTGCCTCAGGATTGCACAGTATCCATTGTCTGATACACAGATTTACAGAAGGGGAAGTAACCATTTGCCCAACCGGAGCAAGTTCAAAGACCCCATCCGCCCCTTAAGTTCATAGAATCATGGAAAGATATGTGATAGTGCCTTGCATCACAACCACTATGACATGTGGAAAAGAAGACAATAAATTTACACCGGGTGCCAAGGTATGCAGAGTTGTCGCTCTCTCTCGCTCAGTAGTTCGTAGCCAAGTTCAGTGATGATTCATTTTTGAAGGCATAGTCGTTCATATATGCACCGTCTGCTTTTAGTTCAAAATTTACATTTTGCCCAACGAGAGCATTAATATCTTTAAGAATAAACAGCGGTTATGTCCGCAAACTGCATTAACCGGCTGGACCCCATAATGGAGAAGCAACGTGTTTCTTGTGAGGCAGGAACTGAAATTTCAAGTATTATTTAAACGAAATTCCTGCTGAAAGCGACTTCGTGAGAAAAAATATATCAAAATTTTCAGAAAAAAGCAACACACAAATAGTGACTATTTTTTTCTTAACAGGCTGTAAAGGCCCATAGGTTTGTGAGACGTCGAGGTTCCCATATTTTCTCTAGACAATCGGCTCAAAAATAGCGGTAAGGTTATCAGTCTTACGCGCCTACTGTCCTTTACCCCCCAGGAAGATTCCTGGTACTCATTTCTCTTCGAGGCTGAGTCGACCCCAGGGCCATAATGTGGCTGGAAGAATCAGGTAAATTGAGAAAGAATCCACCACATCTGGACTCGAAACCGCCATCTTCCAGCTTCTAGCATAGTACCCCAACCAACTACGATACCGCGTGCTCCCTTCCAACAACACCGAGAAAGAATAAAACTAGAATGTGTGTTGCTCTTGGAGTTCAAGTAGGGTTAAGAATTCTCTCTACGCCGTCCGCACCGCACCACCCAGCCTCCTACCCAATGGGTACCGGAGGCTGCTTCCCCGGAGGTAAAACGGCAGGGCGTGAATCTTTCCACTCACCTCCAACTAGTTCCGAGGTCAAGGAAATATGGATTTATACATCCACTCCCCCATGCGCCTTCTTGACGTAGTGCTTAATTCGTTAAGCACAGGGAGAACTTTTCCTTTTGCAGTAAGTAGTAATCCCAGATCACTGGACAATAACACATCGCTGCCCCCAGCTACGAATAAGGTTTCTGGGCTTACTGCTCAAATTAAGTGAGCTGGTGTGACTCAGTACCATAACTGGACTACAGGCTAGACGCCAGCGAAACAGGGTTCAGACCGTGCCCAGACCGGTGTAAATATCAACCTGACTGAAAGCCAGAGTGTACATAGGGCCCAGACCGGTGTATATACAAACCAGCCTCATAGCTAGAGTGTACCTAGGGTCCAGACCGGTGTAGATGTCAACCTGCCTCATAGCCACAGTGTACCTAGGGCCCAGACCGGTGTAGATATCAACCTGCCTCATAGCCATAGTGTACCTAGGGCCCAGACCGGTATAGATATCAATAAAACTCTCAGCCAAAGTGTACCTAGGGCCCAGACCGATGTATATACCAACCAGCCTCATAGCTAGAGTGTACCTAGGGTCCAGACCGGTGTAGATGTCAACCTGCCTCATAACCATAGTGTACCTAGGGCCCAGACCGGTGTAGATATCAACCTGCCTCATAGCCATAGTGTACCTAGGGCCCAGACTGGTGTAGATATCAATAAAACTCCCAGCCAGAGTGTACCTAGGGCCCAGACCGGTGTATATACCAACCAGCCTCATGGCTAGAGTGTACCTAGGGCCCAGACTGGTGTAGATATCAATAAAACTCCCAGCCAGAGTGTACCTAGGGCCCAGACCGGTGTATATACCAACCAGCCTCATGGCTAGAGTGTACCTAGGGCCCAGACTGGTGTAGATATCAATAAAACTCCCAGCCAGAGTGTACCTAGGGCCCAGACCGGTGTATATACCAACCAGCCTCATACCTTGTGTGTACCATATGGCTCAAGAGTAAAGCGGTCCGTGAATCAAACCGACCATTCACCCCATCCAGTGACGAGGTTACGAATGCGTAGAGCCATATCTCCACCCCCATATATATCCCCAGGGCGTGGTGCTTAATTAAGCACAAACATAAGTCTGCCTTTAACTTAACTTTACTTAGTCACGAGACACACTTACTCGTAAACATACGGCCCCAATTCATCCAGCACTGGTTTCTTGCCCTCGTTCAGGAACTCCTCAGCATTTGTCACATTGTACACGTAGATCCTGATGATGGGGTTCACTGGAGGCCTGCGCCACCACTCGAAAGTTTGGGATCCATTCCTCAGCACGATCTCCTGCAAAGTTAAGAACGAGTGTTTAGCACATCAGCGCAAATGTAGGCAATGGGCCCATAACCACCATACTGAACTCATTTCGGTCCCGTAGTGGGTTGAGGCACTATGCTACAAGCCGCACTATGGCCCTGGGGTCGACTCAGCCTCTAACAGAAATGAGTACCAGGAATCTTCCTGGTGGGTAAAGGGCGGCCGGTGCGTAAAGCTGACAATCTTACCGCCATCTGTGAGCCGATTTTCTAGAGAAAACGTGAGAGTCTCGACGTCTCACAAACCTATGGGCCTCCACGTCCTGTTATAGGGATAGCTTTACCTTACCTTTTTACCTATAACATTCTACCCTGGTTATAACGGAATGTAGTTGTGATTTTCGGATCGTCAGAGCATGCCTTCTGTATGGACTATCCGCTTCCTGTTAATAGAATTTGGAGCTTCAAAGTCGCTGTTTTAATATTCAAGCATTAGGTTCTCTTCCGAATCAGTCCAGTTTATTCCATTTAGTTAGGCCGATAAAATGTATACAGATGCTGATTTATTCTAATAATATACAATAATTAATAAATTATTTGACGTGACTCGTGTCAAAAAGTATCCATCCTAACAATTTGTATGTATTTCATATCTTTTTCTTCCAAGTTGCGAGTCCAGCTGTTGATAACCATCATTAATGAAGTATTCTAAGAAGAGCAGGCAAATTGTATAATTAATTGTTACAGCGCATTATTTCTGTAATTCGTGTCTATTTGGTGCAAATATTTTCCTTTGTAGGCCTACTTTTTTTCATATGGGCCACTTGCACTTTATATTCTTCCCTCAGAGATATGATTAGGTTTCACAGTCCTGAGAAACAACTGGTAAAATCAGTCATCAAATCACAACAAAAAATTCCGGTCTAGAAAACCGAGATTAACGGCCGTGGGGATCCGTTTCGCTGATCAAGCAACACCCTCTATCCGAAAAAGTTGGCACTAACTTTGCCGACAAGCAGCGGTCGCTCGGTAGGTATATTTCGCTTGCGGATTAAAAGCCACGGAGTTTTAGTTTATCACAACAAATACCAGATGTCCTGCCATAGTTACCACAGCAGGACAAAATCTGACTTGCTTACACTATGACCAGTCACTTGCTGAGTGAGAGATGAAACCCCAAACTTAGACTATGAGTGTGATAATGTGATGCCTATTCAGGGCTATTGCTCACTTCGGGGGTGGGGGCTGTAATAAATCAGTATGGAACAATGGTGGAATAGTTATTAATAATAGAAATAGGAAGACACTCAGATGTAAACTTACTCCAGTGCCACTTCTCATACCACGAAACCCATATGAAGTCACACGACATTGAACATGAGCTTCCTTGGTGATAAACCATCGCGTAATAGCCTGAGCTTTGTAGTAGGACTACCTCATCGAAAAATATGTTTTCATCAACTCAGGATTATGTTTCCACTCTCAGTTACCTGACATCATCATTCTTTGCGAACCTCTCACCGGATAAAACGAACCATTACTCATTCAGCTGTTCCAGTCATAACCAATAAAAGCGTGTGATTATTCCTAGATGTAAGCCGAGGCCGCCAAGTTGTCACTCTGGCCAGAGCAATATTCACGCCTGGCTCATAAACAGCCCCGTCACTCTTTAAGTCTTACAACACAAGTGCAAGACTTCTAGCATATGAATCAGATATCTCGTAAACATCGTCAGGGTCCTTTCTCTTTTTGGATTAGCAAATGAAGCGAGCTCAGGGCTGAAAAAAGGAAAATCTAAGATATTGCTGAAAGCAGACTGTACTGTAAGCCGTCTTCCTTCCTGATACGGCACCAGGCCTGCGTGTCATTGGCATTGTCAAACAGTGAAAGACGCAGCGCAACACACTCGACAAACCTGACAGAAAAATTTCAACAGCCCCATGACGTAAGCCTTAGCGCCTCTGTAATACCTCATTAGGCCAAACACCACACAACAGTGTTGTAGGTAGGAGTACTGTCACGTACCCTGGTGACGTGACAAGTAGTTAGTGGGTTCTCTGGATTCATGGATCGATTTTCTTAACGTCACTAATACAATCACACTCGATTATAACAGTTCACACACTCAACTCCTTCCGGATAACAATCCTTCTCAGCGTAGCTCTGCTTTGTTTTCCAAAGCACGTTGATTCACTCCCGAGTCATTTCGCCTTTTTCTTCCACCTTCTATTGTATTCTGGTCTCTCCTGGTACCACAACTAAAAGGCAGGAACTATAACAGTCTCACTCCAGACATCACTACCATACAGCACACATGAAGTCTTCAAATCACACGTTAAATCTTCTACGAACTTCCCGTGGCTATCTTCCAACGAGAGCTCAGAACTCTCTCACTGTCACTGCACTCTCACTGTCACTGTCACTGAAATGTAGTGCTGTTTGTTTTTAAGATAACGCTTCTGCACGGGCACCACGGAAAGCACCTTCTTCCATTGTTGTGGATGCATGTTTACTGCTTCCTTACCTGTCAACAAACTTCTTATACATATCGGTGATTTTGCTCGATGCGGACCGCATATAAAACACAGTTTCTCTTCTATTGTTACATCTACTCATGTTTACGGAGCCGTTCCATGGCAACGCGTTGATCAAATTCGTTACAGTACTACGAGTACTGTATATCGAACCGCTGTGAGAACTTCAAATCCTGTGTAGTGCTGAACAGGTTGCAGATGTATCCCGGCGACCAGTGACAGTTATCACAGCTCTTTAAACAGGAACACGGACGATGCAGAGGGCTACCAGTTTCAGGAGCTCTTAAAATCCAATATATATCTGCAGTCTCTGAATATCACATTGGGATTCATGTGTCCAAGATATTTCCTTATTGGAGTGCACACTCTTCCGTGCTCTAACGTCATGTAATTCGGAGAAAGCCTGGCGTTTCGGAGGAATACCTTGACTCCATCTTCAGAGTGGAAGAGAAAGCCAAGCAAGGAATCAATAAAAACAGGTGGAAAACTGACGACTACACGGCGCTACAACCCAGAAGACCGTATGCTTCAAACAACCGTTGTGAGAAGTTCAAATCCAACAATTTAACTATTGCTGAGATATGAGATGGTTCATTATCATCACAAAGCCTGCTTGTAATGCAGACCCTATTCTGACGCAGTTCACATTCTCACAGCCTATTTGCATGAGATACATTTTAATAATATACTTCCGATAACACTTAATCCATGCACTGGCCTCTTTCCGCCAGGTTTTCCAAATTGTTCTATGCAATTTTTGCTTTATTTGTCTGTGCTACATATTCCATCCACCTTCGAATTTAAGGGCCGTGGCTGACAGCTACTCTAACAAGAGGCGTATCAGGTGGAGAGAAAACTTACGAACTTCTCTGTTTTCTTTATTGCTAGTGGGGTGGGACTAAGTCCCTTGTACTGCGGCCACTTCTGGCCTATTGTACCAGCCCCAGATGATAGGTGAGGGTGATTGTGGAGCAATTGGTGGAATGAAGATTGGCAGGGGAAACCGAAGTACTCGGAGAAAACCTGCCCCAGCGCCACTTTGTCCACCACAAATCCCACTTGAGCAGGCCCGGGATTGAACCTGGGCCTCTGCGGTGGGAAGCCAGCGACTAACCGCTTGAGCTATGGCGCGGCCAAGTTCTCTGTTACTTTACTCTTCCGAGAAAACTTTACCTTCAAACGAGTGGAATATTGATACTTCATTCTGAGTGAAAGGTCAAGTCGTTTTATCGAACCAATAAAAACCAGCTGGTAGAATCCCTAGGCCTATATGGGTCTAAGTTAAAACACTGCTTAATTTCTTGGAAAGATGAGAAAATGGGCCTGAAATATTTGCATTTATTGGATTTTATGAACATATAAAATTATTAATTTCATAAAGTAGCCGGGATAGTTCAGTCGGTATAGCGACAGGCTACGGGCTGGACGATCAAGGAGTCGGGGTTCGAGTCCCGAGGGGGGATTACAATTATTATTTCTCCATGTCGTTCAGACCGGCTCTGGGGCCCAACCAGCCTCCTATCCAATGAGTACTGGGGGCTCTTTCCCCTGAGGTAAAGCGGTCGAGGCGTGAAGCTGACCATTCACCTCCAATTAGTGCCGAGGTCAAGAGAACGAGGATCTATACATTCACTCCCCATACGTCTTCATGGCGTAGTTCTTAATAAGTTAAGTACAGGGACAACTTTACTTACTTACATTTATTAATTTCATAAATTAATTTCTTAAAACTTATCTTAAACACGAGGCCTGAAAGCGTCTTAAAACAGCCTACAAACCGACAAGGGCAATGTAATTTCCAGAAGTGAATAATATTCAGAATTTTCGAATTTATTATTTTAGGTCCATCCACCCAACTAGTGCCCGTCATAGTTCTGTAAAACTACTGGACAACCAAAAAGAGGTTGAGAACCGGCAGGATTTGTATATATAGTCACTTAGCAAGGACGTTTAAAGACTTGAGTACTTAAACATAATTAGTACCACGGTATTTGCCTGGAGGGTTGAAAAATCCTAATGATTTCCCAGCCTTCCGACTAGGAAGCAGTAACGCCATTATTAATCATGGCTCTTCCCGTTTAATATCGGGAAATCGTGTCCAGGACGCACATCAACTCGACTGGCTCCCGTTCCAGGCTATCAGCATTCCTGATTTGCTAGTAGGCTATCAGAAGCCACGCCTGGACCCCGCCTCGAAGCGAGTGACGGGAAAGCGTCCCGATTTATATTTGGGAATCACAGACATGCGTAATGCGATCCAACCCTGGGGCAGAAGGGCGGGGCTTGGATGATAATTCTTCAGCAGCCGCGCATCGGTAACTGCGTCACTGGGTTTTGCCGTTTCTTGCTTATCGCAATGCGATCCATCCCTGGGGCAGAAGGGCGGGACTTGGAAGATAATTCTGGAGCAGCCGCGCATCGGGAACTGCGTCACTGGGTTTTGTGGTTATTTGCTTAAGTGCGTTCTTTAACGTTCAACGGAATGAAAGGGCTGCTCAGGAACTGAAACAGCTTTACAATACGGTGACCATGTAGGTCTACTTCTGCACTTGTTTTGTTTATGCGCATGGTTACCGGAACCATAACATAAACCCACTGCAGACCACTTGAGGTGTACGACGGCACTTTACCACATCCTCCTACTTTAAGGCACATAGCTCGTTACAGAGTAAGGAAGTTGGATTTTATTAGGCATACTGAATGTAATTAGACCTAATTGCGACTGGTAACCGTAGCTTAAAGACACAGGACTATGTATAAAACATATGAGAAAATGAGAACGTAGTTTTCCTCAATAAAATTAAAGAAATTAATGACAATAGAGCAAATATCGTGTCTCGTGTTGTGCACGCACCCGCAACCTGGAAGGGAACACACAACACGAGACACGATATACACTGAGAGTAAGAGGAACGACTCCCATAGTGGTGGAACTATGCGCGGTGTTAGAATTGGGACAGATAAGATAAATAATCTTAACAAGTTTTTAGTATATAAAAATTTATTATAATTGACGAACATTTTTAAATACATTTTAAATTTTACAATGACATAATGGCAAGCAATGAAATAGATTAACGTAAATGGAGCACCTGATGATGGCACTGTAGTGTCGAAACATGTTGTGAAATAACAAGTGAAATTGAGTGCACTGAAAGACGGACACTGCATACATATCATGAATAAAACAGAGATTATGAATACATGGAAAGAATATTTTGAACAATTATTAAATCAAAATCAGAATATGGAAGATAACGAGGACAATGAAGAAGAAAATATAGATGATGGAGAAGGGGAAGAGGAAGAGATAATAGAGCCTCCAACAAAGGAAGAAGTGGAAGAAGCAGTAAAGGAACAAAAACTAAATAAAGCACCAGGAGGAGATAACATACCAGCAGAATTATTGAAGGCAGGAGGGCAAGAAGGAATAATAGCACTGCACAGAATTATAAATAAAGTGTGGGAAGAAGAAAATATACCAGAAGATTGAGGAAAGAGCATTATATGTCCCATATTTAAAAAAGGGAATAAATTAACATGTAGTAACTATAGAGGTATATCACTACTACCGACAGCATATGAAATTTTAACAAGGATACTAAAAGAGAGACTGGATCCATATATAGAAAAAATAATAAGGGAATATCAATCAGGATTTCGACCCAATAGGTCAACAATAGACAATTTATTCACCCTGAGACAAATAACGGGGAAATTCTGGGAATTTAATATAGATATTTACCTATGCTTCATAGATTTTAAAGAAGCATATGATACAATAATAAGGAAGAAATTAAGGTTGATTATGTCCACTTTTGTTATTCCAACAAAACTAAGTAGAATAATTAACTTAACCATGACAGAAACACTCAATCAAGTTAAAATCCAGAACCAGTTAACAGAATGCTTTAAGACAAATCAAGGATTAAAACAGGGAGATAGTTTGGCACCATCACTATTTAATTTGGTATTGGAATATATAGTGAGGAAATGTAATGTAGATACAAGGAACACAACAGCGTATAAACAAACGCAAATAAGGGCGTATGCGGATGATGTTATTATAGTATCGAGATCCCTAGGAGCAATGAAGGAGACATATAAAGAAATAAAAGCCATAGCAAAAACAACTGGCTTAGAGGTGAATGTAAATAAAACTAAAATGCTGATACAATCTAGAAGGAATCCAAGGCAAACTGGAGAAATTAACATGGAAGGGGACGGGATAGAAATAGTTGAAGACTTCATATATTTAGGATCGAAATTCCATAAAGATGGAGAGGAAAATCATGAACTAACAAGAAGAATAAAACTAGCGAATAATGCATATTGCTCGTTACTATCAGCTTTTAGATCAAAGGATATACACCGAGCGATTAAAACAAAAATATACAAAACAATGATAAGACCGGTGTTTTATTATGGATGTGAGGGTTGGACGCTAAACAAGAAAGAGGAATCAGTCATCAGTTCATTCTAGAGGAAAATCCTAAGACGAATTTATGGACCAATAAAAGAGAATGGGATATGGAGAATAAGATATAACAAAGAGTTATACAAATTATATAAGGAGCCAGAGATCTCAGTGACGATAAAGCTTAAAAGATTGCAATGGGCTGGGCATGTACAGAGAATGGATAAGGAGCGTATCCCAAAGAAAATATTATACAGTACAACAGGTGGTAGGAGACATGCTGGGAAACCAAGAACTAGATGGATTGATGCGGTGGAAGAAGATGCAAAGAAGTTAATGGGCGTAAGGAACTGGAAGAGAGCAGTGCAGGATAGAGAGGAATGGAGGGGCTTGATAAGGGAGGCCAAGGCCCGACATCGGGCTGTTGCGCCATAGAAGAAGAAGAAGAAGAAGAAGAAGTTTTCTTCAATAGACTCTTGAATTCTGAACAAGGGATTAGATAAACGCACAGAGACCGACCACCAGCATAGACGGTGAAGTGACCGAGTTTTCAACATACTCCTCCGACTCTGCTTCCAAAATTCAAGAAAAGCCTATCTTTAAATATACTCTATATAAACTGTACATACTGGTATATTTTAAGGGTCATATGGTTACAAAATTAAATTTTAAGAAAAACCAAAGACTTCTTTGATGTGTGTTAGAGGCCATAGAAATCAGTTTGATTGAGATGTTTTAGCGCACAGTGTCATTAGGTCCACATCCGTGACGGATTTTGGACTTGTGTGCATAAAATAGGGAATAAGGAAGCAGTTGTTTTAAACTTCGTAATGTAATGAAAGAACTTACTTTCTCGATGAAGAAGGAGACCCACGAGGGGAAGAAGACAGTCACGATGGCGCCAAACAATATCAGCACCAGCGCGACCAGGATTACAACCCCTGCAACAAAAAGTCACTAACTTTGTACTCCACATTTAGACCTATGTCTTCGTTGATAGTATCCAAAATCAAAGATTTCTTAACTCAACAAAACATAGTGAACCCTTGATAATCAAGAGTAATTGGGGGAAGAGGTCATCCGGATTAAGCGATAATCCGGATTAGTGAAACAAAAAAATAGCCTTAAAAACAAACTTAGAACAAATATAAAAGGAAAATTTAAGATAAAATAGGCAAAAACGGTAAAGTCATCCCTGAAACAGGCCGTGGAGGCCCATAGGGTTGTGAGACGTCGAGGCTCCCACATTTTCTAGACAATCGGCTCACAAATGGCGATGACGTTGTCAGCCTTACGCTCCGGCCGCCCTTTACCCCCAGGAAGATTCCTGGTACTCATTTCTGTTAGAGGCTGAGTCGACCCCAGGGGCATAGTGCAGCTGGAAAGATTAGGTCAATCAAAAATTTAAATGACCTCATTGGGGATCAAACCAGTGATCTTCCGGCTTGTAGCATAATGCCTCAATCAAGTACTCTACCGTGTGCTCCACAAACTCCTTTAATCTCGCTTGCTACTTACATGTCCAATCCATTGTAACCTGACAGATTTCACTGTCCTAACGACAGGCTAGTTAGGAGATATACATGTACGTATACATGTATATAAACCTCAGAGTTCCGAAGGAAATAAATAAAATGAAAATAAATCTCGAATATTAAAACAAAAATCAACAAACTTTCCAGTACTGCCTAATATTATACCTATTTGAACACCCTGTTGCACTGTATAGATCTGACTTTGGAGTTTCTGCGCAGCCTAAGTGCAACGTCTTTGCCAGTTAAGCCGAAACATGTAATGAAATAGTATCCAAGAAAGGAACAATGAACGACGCTGCACTTAGACGGCGTAAAATCTCTAAGTCAGTTCCAGAATTGCGACAGACTCAAGTATCGAAAGGCCGAAAGCCCTGATTTCACTTAATAATATGTAGTAGGCCTAGTGAAGCTGCTTATTTCTCGAATCACACACCTAATTAATACTTGTAACTGCACGTAGGGCTGTTCTAGACACATATTCCTCAAGTTCCCTTAATGAATGCCATAAACAATGTTAAAAACAGCCCCTAACATATCGCTCAAAGTTCTTACATCGGACACAGAAAGAGGATTAATTAGATATGTGCGGGTTGAGGCACTATGTTCCAAGCAGGAAGGTAGCGGGTTCGAGTCCCGATGGGGTGGATTTTTTCAATTCAACTAATCCTTCCAGCCGTAGTATGGCCATGGGGTCGACTCAGCCTCTAACAGAAATGAGTACCAGGAATCTTCCTAGAGGGTAAAGGGCGGCTGGCGCGTAAGGCTAACATCCTTACCGCCATCTGTGAGCCGAATGCCTAGTAAATGTGGGATCCTCAACGTCTCACAACCCTTTGTGCACCCATGGCCTGTTACAGGGGTAGCTTTGCAAATATGATATGCAGTCTAGTTGAACATAGCAGTCCGGTGTTTCGGAACTTGAAAGGACGGAAATGAGTTACGAAAAAATTCAGTGGTCAGGAAAGCGTCTCGAGACCGAGATTCGAACCTCGGATAGAACGAATACAGAACAGGATTGCGAGTCATTTCACTGTGACGCCCGGTATTATCTAGGAAGCCCAGACTAGACGCACTTACATAAAGAATGTTACAATAGACTGAGTACGGTCGTGTTGGGGAAGCAAGCAGAGGAAACTACTGCAAGCCGGTCACTTGTAATACCAAAAGTATGGGAGGATTGTATGAAACTGGGATTACAGAAAGAACGGAATGGACAGTTGTGGCGCAGGAGAGGGTTCATAGCGGAGTGATGTGAGGATCCTTCATGACTAGATAGCAAGAACAACGGCCCTATTGCACGTCATTGAAGCCAAGAATTTACCGTGCCTCGCGGCCGGCACGTCACGCATCCTGAAGGTGAAGCACCTGCTTACGTCAAGGACAACATGTATATGACATCATCTAGCCCTGCATCGGGTCAGCCAGGGTTGCCAATATCAAGCCTCACAACTGCTTAAATACTTATCCCAAAAAATTCGTTTCACCAAAACCCAGACTACTAGAAAATAAAAATGAATGACAGAAGCAGTGGAGGAAAAGAGAAAAAGGCACAACGAGAATCTCCACAACAGACACCTTTCACGCAGTATTTTTAGGATGACTGGATGAAGAGGAAAGAGTAGGGGAGCATGTAGGTTTGGCCTGCATATTTGTCTGTCTGTCTATCTATCTGTCTCTCTGTCGTTTTATTCAAAGCAGATTTCTGAAGATTTGTCTTCACGGATATAAAGCCATGTAGTACGTCCAAAGTTAAGCGATATTTCGGTGGAACATGTCGCCTCCATCTTCAGGGTTCAATAGTAAATCAAGCAAGGAAATAGCATGCCTACATTATGCTGGTTTCTTATTTCACTTAATCTTCAACTCTGGAGATAGAGGTAACATATTCCTCTTCAACGTCAGATGACTTTCAAAGGACTGACTACACGGCGTTATATCCCAGAAGATAGAAATTTACATAACCACTGCCGTGGGAACCTCCAATTCTTAAAAGTGTACTTCTTATCGCTGAATAGTATTTCGCTTTCTGGTCAAGGAATAGTCTGCAATATGGAGCTGCCTTAAAATAGGACGGCTAAGTTTGCTGTAACAGCTTCAATGAATCATTGATTATTACACGTCAGTGTATAAACTGCGCTACATTTATGCAGAGCAAATCAAATTGCTAGTAATGCAACACTGGCAAGTTTGTGAGTACTAAGCCATTTATTTATATGCGGGTGTAAGACGATTATAGAAATGTCACATGAATATTGATCTGGGTGGAATTCACACCAAGAACCTCAGAAGTAAAAGTCAAGTTCTTTTCCAGTAAGCTAGACTTGCTTTTTGTGTCATTTCATTAAAGAAACGTCAACTAATAAGTGTGGTCCATAGGCACTAGGTGCCGGTCACGGTAGCTGAGCGGTCTAAGGCATGCACTGTCTTCGCTCGCTCGGAAGCCGGAATCGTGGGTTTGAATCCCACTCAGGGCATGGATGTTTGTGTACAGGTAGAGGCCTTGCGACGAGCTGATCACCCGCCCAAGGAGTCCTACCGAAAGTGTAAGATCGAGAAAACCCGAAGTGAACGGAGAAGTTCATGGAGGTAGTCCTAGGCCCACTGGGGCTGTAGTGACAAGGAAAAAAAAATAGGCACTAGGTAAATGTAAAAAGAGGTAAAGTTTTCCCTGTGCTTAACGAATTAAGCACTACGCCATGAAGACGTATGGGGGAAGAGATGTATACATCTACATTTTCTTGACCTCTTACACTAGTTGGAGGTGAGTGGTCAGCTTCACGCTCCGGCCGCTTTACCCCAGGGAAAGAACCCCCGGTACCCATTGGATAGGAGGTTGGGTGGAACGCAGAGACGGTCTGAACGATTTGAGAAGTGCAAATTTTTGACCTTACCGGAACTCGAACTCCGACCCCTTGGCCCTCCAGCCCATAGCCAGTCGCTATACCGACTACGTTATCCCAGCTCCTCCATAAGCACTAGACAATCTGTTACTCATAAGGGCGAAGTTATCCGTGTGTTCTAGCACTTTATCGTGAGAGGTAACGAGACATAAAGATAAAACTGCAAGTATTCATAAGTAAGTTGTAACTTCACGATCCGGCCGATTAGCCCGAGGAATCCCCTGCTTCAATTTAGGTATACAAGAGAAGGCTTATTAGACCCTGCAGCAGCTTAGAAGGCTGTCATGGTATCAGACTTTATTAAAATGCACTAACAAGAAAAAAGAAACTCCGTGGCTTCAGTCCGCAAGCGAACTATACCGACCGAGGGAACGCCGCTTGTCGGTGAAGTTGGTGCCAACGTTAGCGGATAGAGGGTGTCGCGTGGTCAGCTCAACGAATCTTCACGGTCGTTAATTTCGGTTTTCAAGACGGGAGCCGCTGTTTCCTTGAAATAGCTCCTCAATTGTCCTAACGAGGTCGAGTGGACCCCGTTCCAGACCCACTACTTCTCAGAAAATCTGGTAGCGCCGGGAATCGAAAACGGACCTCTGGGTCTGTAGGCAGGAACTCTGACCACTAGATCACAGGGGCGGTCTATTAAAGTGCACACGGGTATAAAACCTTCCACATCCGATACAAAGTCTGTTCTGTCCTTGAACTGTTCACCCTTAACGTATAAGAGGTTAGTAGTGCTTCAAAATCCTAATTGGCGGGGACCATTTCAAGTGCTGAGCAGTTTTACGGGCGATGACAGCGAAGCTCAAGGCCTACATTGCATTACTGAAGCTATTTTTGTAATGTTTGTGACTTTCCTACTTTCACCTTTCGAACATCACTCTTCAGTCACGTGACAAAACAAGAAAACGCGGCGCAAGTTACACGATCCTGAAACGCAAATGAGAACACTGCTCAGCCGTCACGGGCCCCAGAGACTGTGACGACATCAACTCGTTGCGTCTCCTGCTGTCACAATTCGCGGTGCCGAGCCGTCTCACGTGCGGACGCATAGGACACGCCCCCGTCTAAACATCACCACCATATCTGAAGAACGAATGGATATCGTGTACCATTCTTTCCATTTGCCTTTTATTTCTCCGTTTCTTATTCTTCTTCTTTTTTTTTGTCTTCCTTTTTCTACAGTGAAATGTTCTTATACTTGCTTCACCGCTCCTATGTTTCTCGGGTTTCTTTTTGCCCTTCAGTTTTCCTCATGCACTCCTCTTGATTTACTATGTTTCCTTTCTCATCACCATGTTATTCATAATTTTCTTTTTCAGCATTTTGCATAGAAGATAGCGCAGTCGATATGACTGGCTGGACGACCGAGGGATTGGAGTTCGAGTCCCGGTAGGAAAAAAAATTTTACTCTTCCATGTCGGTTCTGTGGTCCACCCAACCTCCTATCCAATGGGTACCGGGGAGCCGGGGCGTGAAACTGACCACTCACCTCCAAATAGTATCAAAATAAAAAAAATTGATCTATACATCCGCTCCCCCATACGCCTTCATGGCGTAGTATTTAATTAGTTAAGTACACGGACAGCTTCACCTTTCTTTCTACCGGTTCTACAGCCCCCTTGGGCCCCGTCTCAGGTTTTTCAGTTTTGTAATCATGTAGGACTCCTTGGACGAGTGATCAGCACGTCGCAAGGCCTCTACCTAAACACAGAAGAACACAAACATAGACTAAAAATATACACTCACCAAGCATCCATGCGTTGTGTGGTATTCGAACCCACGATCCCAGACTCCGAGCGAGCAAAGATAGTACATGCCTTCGACCGCTCGGCTACCGTGACAGGCCAACTTAACCTTTACTTTTTTACTATTTTTCACATCCATTCGATTTACGTCCTTTATTTGCTCCATCATGAAAGCCTGGCATCATCCCAAGATGCATTACATCTGCAGGCCTATAAGCTTTCAGGATCCTAATCTGAATGGCGCTAATGTTGTTCCCACCTCAGAAGTTCACATTGCCGCCTTGTCCGAACCGTCATAAATGCGGTGTGTGGATAAAATTCAATGGGATAATTTATTTAGTCTTATAAAGAGACACATTAACAGATTTTTCGAGAGTCAGGACCGTTAGATGGTACACGGCTAGTTTTGCAGCAATAAGAATATGCTGCATTGACGCCGTGTATACTGTGATGTCCTTGGTTACTGAAGTTGTGACGAAAGATGGCCGATAATTACTAACAGAACAATGGATGAGAATTCCGTATGGTGTAACTGGCTCTTACTGAAAGCACAGCATGAGACTGGCAGAAGAAAGAACTCCAGGCTCTGACTGTTTCCTAAGCAAGTGACAAACACGCGGTGTCGCAAGGCAGACGAAGAAAGTGGTACACCGTTGCAATAGCATATCAACGCACAAGCGTTCTCAGTAGTTGATCGGCGCATGCTCCGATCGGAGGCAACTTCATGAGAAGCTTCAAGACGATGGGAAAGGAATGCAATTAATCGGTATGGTGATGTGGTCAGGAGGCAGAGGATTCATGATTATCATGCTAGTTTACCTACGCCATTTCAGCTACAGAATTTATAACACTATGGTCTCGAATGTTAGGAAAATATGATCTTGAATGGGGATCAGAGCAGACAAAAACATACTCCGTGGCCTCTAGTGCGCAAGCGAACTATACCGACCGAGCGACTGCCGCTTGTCGGTGAAGTTAGTGCCAACTTTTGCGGATAGAGGGTGTCACGTGGTCAGCGCAACAGATCCTCACGGTCGTTAATCTCTGTTTTCTAGACCGCAGCCGCTATTTCCTTGAAATAGCTCCTCAATTATCCTCACGAGACTGAGTGGATCCCGTTCCGTATTGGTTGAGGCATTATGCTACAAGCCGGAAGGTCGCGGGTTGAAGTCTCGATGAGGTCATTGAATTTTTTCAATTGACCTAATCCTTCCAGCCGCACTATGGCCCTGGGGTCAACTCAGCCTCTGACAGAAATGAGTACCAGGAATTAATTAAATAATATTCCTGGGGAGTAAAGCGCGGCCGGCGCGTAAGGCTGACAACCTTACCGCCATCTTTGAGCCGAATTTCTAGAGAATATGGGAGCTTCAACGTCTCAGAACCCTATGGGCCTTCATGGCCCATACTTTACTTACATAGGACTACGAATGTAAAATACTGCCTGCCTCATGTAGACACTTCTGAAATGAGTAAACCGAGGAGCTGCAATAAACTAAGACATGTGACGAAAGTGCAAAGATAAATATCTCAAATAAAAGGAATAATTAGTAGAACTTGAAGGAGCGGACTCGAATCACTTGACAAATGACAAGGACCAACATCGGGCTCTTGTGAATAAGGTATGAACCTGTGGATTCAATGCAAAGTGGGCAGAATAACTGAGGAACGGACAGCCTTGTAATAAGGACTCTACTCCATGGAGTCAGATACGAAGCGAGCACAGGACAAGAAACAACAGAGGCCTACTTTTCATCCTTCTGCTACGATTCTTATGTTCAATTAAAATTCGTTTTTCCCTCAGCGGTGGTCATGAAGGTTCCATCTTATGGGATATAACTCTGTATATTCCGTCTAAAGTCATTCGAATTTTCGGAGGAACATATTGCCTCAATCTTCAGGGCAGAAAGTAAGCCAAATAAGAAAGCAACATGAAGAAAGTAGGAAGGACTGTGTTCCTCCGACAAGTCGGCTAACTGCATGGTGTTACTTTCTTTATCTGTGGAGTGTTGGGCAGGGGGAAGGAATCAAACAAACTTGAAATTAATAAAAAAATTCAGCTTGGATAGATCTTTTACATAAACCACCCCGAATACCGAAAACAAATGAAAGGCGTTACCATTAATCATATAGTAGGGTCACGTGGATTGCATTTAATTGGCTACTTGTGGGCTCCAATTGAAGACTTGCGTTAAGACCGTCGAACGTTCCGGTTTCATGACTAGAATATGGAAGACGTTTAGTTACGTAACTAATCTTACAGTTTGCTGCTTGTCTGAATATTTGTTTAGTTAGTATGAATCACGTTAAGCCTGAAACATGTCCCGCAAACTCGAAAGACCCACACGCGTGACAACTGAATCAGCGAGACTGCGCGCAAAATGAAGGTCATTGGATGTGGTGGAAGGAACAAGAAATGGACAATGATATTAAAATCCATTCATACATTTGCCTACTTTCAATAGGTATCGCTCATCTATGATTTGTTGTTCCTCTTTATTCAGTATTTAAAACTAAATTACATAGATCAGAATTCAATACAGATTGACTCAAAAATAGGTTAACCCAAAATATCCTCTCGTATTAAAGAAAATGTACCGATCATGGTGGCAGCACAGTCTAAGGTGTGAACTGTTTTCGCTCGCTCGAACGCTGGAATCGCAGGCTCTACTTTCACTCAAGGCATGTATGTCTGTGTTTTCCTGTGTACAGGTGGCGGCATTGCGGCGGGCTAGTCCTACCGTCTGTGTAAGAAAGATACAAAATTGAAGTAGAGGCCAGTGCCCAAAAAAGGGCTCTAGAGCCATTGATGAATGAATGAATAAATGACATGAAAGTAAATGTTCAAATTTAAACATGCCAGTCAATTTGTAGAACGGTATCACAGCGCTGTGAGCCAAGCACTGAACACAGAGGGTCTCATTTCGGACAATGTTTGTAAATTAAATAAGTTATAAAGAAATTTCTATTGTATCTTATTTTATATTTTACTAATAAGTTAACTGTTTTTTGAGCCTCTCTCTACTAACCGGAGTATCATATCCTTGGTGTCTACTAGAAGATGCAGGTAGAGTAGCCACTCTAGAGCCGTTGCTGGGAAACGGAGTCAGGTCAACAGCAGCTCCTGTTAAATCTAAAGGAGGCCAAGCTGAACAACACAGCCTTCTGTTTTCTGCGGTGTATATGTCGGACAGGAGCAGATGTTTCGAAAGAACAACTGCGTCCATATTCAGGATCGAAGAGAAAGTCAACAAAACCCAGAAGATGCAGACATGACGCCTGCTTTTGTCGGTTTCTTGCTTGTGTCCCTCCGAACTACACAGCGTGCAATAGAGTGCTCCACTTTTCACAGCCATCGTCGTGACAGGCTCAAATCCAGTAAAGCCTAAGTTACCTGTTAATTAATTATGAAATAATATTAGATTAAAGGTAAAGTTGTTTCTGTGCTTAACAAATTAAGTACTATGCCATAAGGGCGTATGGGGGAGTGGATGTATGGATTTATATTTTCTTGACCTCGGCACTAGCTGGAGGTCAGTGGTCAGTTTCACGACCCGGCAGGTTTACCCGCGGGGGAAGAGCCCGCGATACCCATTGGATAGGAGGTTGGGTGGACCCCAGAGCCGGCCTCGATGACGTACAGAAGAGAAAATTCTTGAACTTACTGGGACTCGAACTCCGACTCTTAGGTCGTCTAACCCGTAGCCAGTCGCTATACCGACTGCGCTATCTCGGCTCCTAATAATATTAAATATAAAGTATAAAAATAGGTAACAAAAAGCACTGCATTTGTAGTCTTGTAGGTATAAAACTGGTTACGAAAGCCAATAGAATCCTACTTCAAAAAAGTGTGGACCTCTCAGTGCAGACGCCACGCACAGTTTCCATGTGTAATCACTTAAACAACTGTAGATCCATAAAAAATAAATACTGCGGTTTGCATGATTGGATAGGCTTACAAACAGAAATTCGCGGTTAGCGAGAAATTGTTATATACTCATAGGCTATGACCGTTTACCTTCATCTCTCCTTCTCAGTAATCATACCTCGACATCTCTTTCCACGTCACCTAGCCTCACCCTGCGAATCGGTTAAGAAACCTTGACGATGAAACGTGTTAGCCTGCGGCTGTCACGTGACAAGATGTTTCTAGGCCTCATTATATTTTTGCTATCGTCAATCTGGACACGTGTGCAGCAAACGCGAGTCAGTGGGCACCTTCATGCAAATTGTTTATGGTGCACAATTTTTTGAAGGCTCACAGATACTGGTCGGATGACTGTCCGCCTCAAAGACTGGATGTCGAATGGATGGACGGGTGGACGGGTGGACGGGTGGACTGGTAATCTTCAGATTCAGCAACAGTCGCTGATGCATCCATCTTCCATCCATTCGACATCCACTTTTGAATGAGCAGTCAGGGTAATCCGGCCACTGGCTGCGAGATTTCGAGACATTGTGCAGGATCAACAGTTTGCATGAAGGTGCGCCCACTCACTCGCCCTTGATACACACATGTCCACATCAGAGAGCTTCCAGAATACGAAGCAACAGTTTACTATTACCATATTGATAAACCATGACGATATAAAACTGGATCTAGTTGCTTATATACTCAAGTAACTCTCTTGCTTTTATGGCAGAAGACTCTTAATTTCTGTGTTCAAAAAATCCGTGTTTAGCCCCTTTCCTGAGCCAGATGAAACGACCTAATATCGACATGTCCTACTTCATTTTAATATTATCCTTCCGTCGCTGCTACATATTCTATCAATTTCTCTCTGCATGATACGATCTCATCAAAATTATAGGTTGTGCACCTCATTGTCATACAGACTACTTCGTCCTTCTTCAGGACATATATTCTCCTCAGCATTCTACTCTCGTCACTTCCAGTTCATTCTCTGCCTGAAGGTGGGAAGCAAATCTCACACCCACTGAAACGCATAGAATGATATTTTTTAACATTTTAAACATATCGAAATGGCACCTCAAACAGTGTAAAATGTTAGAGAACTGAAAGAATTAAAGACAAATGTCATTTTGACTCAAGTGACATTCTCGGCACAAAAGAAAGTCGCATATCAACAACGTTAATTGCTGATTACTGCTGTTTAATTTCGGAGATAAGTGCCAACGTTTCGGAGGACCCTGTCGCCTCCAACTTCATGGTCCTTCAACTCTTCTGCTATGTAGATGGAAGTAGCAGATTATTCAAAAATATTTGTACCTACTTATTAAACTAAACGGCGTCACCTCCCAGAATACAGTACGCGTGGAAGTCACCACTGTGTCAAGTTGAAATCTCATGCATCGCGCCTCATTTCCACCCAGATGATTGTCAGTGCCTTGAAGGTAGAAAGAGTACTGCTTCACAAATATAAATCACTCCGTCCAATGTGACCTGTAAGTTTTTTACTACATGAAAACTTAACTTCGCTTCTTCGCTCGTAGAATGCAGCGAAGAAGTACGACAATTTGAGAATCTAGAATTTTTTTGTCGGAAATGTTAAAACTGGTGACGTGTACAGATGTACAGATAAGACAGTGGCTACTTGAGCCAAGGAGTGTTTATTGAGGATGGGTGCTTTTGAAGATGAGGACACCGAGCACGCATCCGAAGGAACTTGTGTTGCGCTGGATGACTACACTACGTGTAACGTAGATCGGATTATCCGTAATAACACAAGCACTGTGTCAGCGGCAAACCTCCACTTAAAATAAGCATCAGTCTTGGAAATAGCGCAAATGTGGCTTAAGTTCCAACACGAAACATTCTTCCTGCAGTAAATATGAAATTTGCCCGTCACGGTAGCCGAGCGGTCTAGGGCATGCACTGTCTTCGTTCGCTCGGAAGCCGGGATCGTGGGTTCGAATCCCACTCAAGTCATGGATGTGCAATACGTGTGTGTGTCTGTTAGTATTCTGTGTTTGTGTACAGGTAGAGGCCTTGCGACGAGCTGCTCACCCGCTGAAGGGGTCCTACCGAATGTCTAAGATCTAGTAAACCGAAGTGAAACGGAGATTTTCCATGGAGGTAGGCCAAAGTCGAAATTAGGGCAGTAGCGCCAAAGGAAAAGAAAAATTTAATTTGGGGACACCTGGAAAAGGGGTACTGAAAGCAGGGCGATTGCACAGAAAATAATGCATATCTACCGCGATTCTTTTGTCACTATTCAATTTTACACTGCCATAATTTTGTCAAATATATATATATTTATTGTCTTTAATTCTTACGTATCATCTTCACTACTGGCGTCATAATAAGCTTATAGGCCTAGAAAAGAAAAGCTTCAAGTACTTTAAAATCGTATACCCTATGGCACGGTAATGCGGCCATAAAACGTAGAGAAGCACATCCTCAAGAAGCTTTCTACGTATAAGAACACGGAAAACCCATTATATATTTTCAGATTGCACTTCAGAAACAATATTATTTACATGGATTTGCGTCATGAAGAGTATTAAGTTCTTCTTTGTCTACATAATCCTCTATTTTTACCCACGCAGTTTCCCTTGCTTGCTGCCTGCTTCATGCTGATTCTTTCTTAGATTATTCTTCGACTTTGAAAATGAAGGCAACATTTCCCTCCGAAACGTAAGTCGACTTTCACTGGAATACACGGCTTCATATCCCAGAAAATAAAATTCTTCAGAGCCACCGTTGTTTGAGAACTTCAAATTCAACATTTAAATGTTGAAAATTATCCCGGTAAGTGTAAGGTAGGTCGCTCACCGGCATGCGTCAAGACATGTAAAAGTCAAGACACGATGTCTGCGACATAACTCAAAGATATGAGCACAGTTGAAACGAACGAGATCATGAAAATCGCGGCACACCGGTCTGAGTCATGATGCTGACGAATCACGAATGAAGCAAGACTGCGTCTTTTGTCCAATGTCTTGATGCTTGTCTTGACGCAGTTGGTGTGCGGCCGCCCTTAGAGGCAGATTAAAATTTAGAGGAATTGAAGAGCGTTCTTGTTTCACATATGAATATCTCTTTCTCCGAAGGGTGCCTTTCTTCACAGGACAGTTTTATACGAAGTAAGTCTGCTAGGAAAAGCACTCCTATTCGTGTGTGTTCGTCAGTATTCTGCCATGTTCCTAAGAGAATTTTAAAAATATTGCTGTTAGATCCGACATGTCTGTCTGTTTATTCGTCCGACCGTTTGTAATGAGAATAAAACCGTTAAAAATAGTTTAATTTTGCAGTTTTACCAAGCTTGACCAACACATTCCTATCCTGGAAACACCCAGGAAATTTTTACACGAACAGCTATACTCGTATAACTTTCCTGCGGACGTCTCTCGACTAACTAGCTAAACGTTTATCAGAGCGAAAAAAAATACCTGAACAACAACAGTAGGTCCCGAGAAAGGCCGTGCCATAGCTCAAGCGGTTAATTGCTGGCTTCCCACCGCGGTAACCCGGGTTCGATTCCGGGTCTGGTCAAGTGGGATTTGTGGTGGACAAAGTGACTCTGGGGCGGGTTTTCTATTACTTCGGTTTCCCCTGCCAATCTTCATTCCAACAAATTCTCCATCACACAATCATCGGGGGCAGGTACAATATGTCAATAATTGGCCGCCGTGCCGTGTGGACCCAGTTGGACTACGCCCCCTCTAAGAGAATGCTCAGCGAAATATAAAATATAGATTTTATGCCCTCAAATCTTAGGTTATCAACAAATCACATGGCGACCGCAAGGAGTATTTTGGTTTCCTGTCATAATACACGAATCTCTGTTTGTATGTTATGAATATATCAGATAACAATACTGGTAGTAGTAGTAATGGTAGCAACAAGAGTGTAATTACTTACCCGACGTTCAAAATTACATACAACAGCCCCGACAATACCACGTCACATTTTCCGCTTCTCTTTCATTATACTCGTATTGGCCCGGCAATTCGTAAATTCATCCTTCGAATGCAAGTTTTGGATGTTCATTTATCAACAGTATTTCGCTTGTGGACTAAAGCCACGGAGTTTTTAAATACCATTTTCTCATTAGATTACCGTCACTGTTCTGTCAACTAAAGGAAACCGCTTCTCTCTGTTGCGGTAAGTACCACAAAATTAATGTATTCGTGCTATGCTGAAAATTACTTGAAAATAAGTTTTAATTTTTCTGTTCATTGTGGTGTTAGAAAGTCGAAAAGAATTAATAGGCCCTACTGGTTTTGTAAGGCGTGTATTTTACTTAAAATTCTGCATCTCAGGTTGCTAATAAAAGCTACTAAGCCCTATTTCAAACCGAAATTCCATACTGGCACTGCGCATAACTGCTAGTCTAGGCAGTCTGTCACCGCACTATGCATTACAACGTTGTTGCCGTAAGATTAATGGTCTTGTCCAAACATGAGATGGGCTACAACATTACTGTAGTC